CTTGTATGACCTTCCCTTGTAGAATCACAGAATCATAGAATCTCCCAAGTTGGAAGGGACCCATAAGGATCATCAAGTCCAACTCCTGGCACTGCACAGGTCTGCCCAAAAGTTTAGACCGTGTGCCTAAGTGCACAGTCCAATCGCTTTTTAAATTCAGACAGGTTTGGTGCAGTGACTACGTCCCTGGGGAGCCTGTTCCAGTGTGCAACCACCCTCTCGGTGAAGAACCTCTTCCTCATGTCCAGCCTAAACCTCCCCTGCCTCAGCTTAACACCATTCCCGTGGGTCCTGTCACTGGTGATAACAGAGAACAGGTCACCTGCCTCTCCACTCCCCCTCACAAGGAAGTTGTAGACCGTGATGAGGTCCCCTCTCAGCCTCCTCTTTTCCAGGCTGGACAGGCCCAGTGCCCTCAGCCGCTACTCATACGTCTTCCCCTCTAGGCCCTTCACCATCTTCGTCGCCCTCCTGGGGACACTCTCCAACAGTTTAATGTCCTTCTTGTATTGTGGTGCCCAGAGCTGCACACAGTGCTTGAGGTGAGGCCGCACCAGTGCGGAGCAGAGCTGGACAACCACCTCCCTCGACCGACTGGCAATGCCGTGCTTGATGCACCCCAGGATAAGGTTGGCCCTCCTGGCTGCCAGGGCACACTGCTGGCTCATATTCAACTTGCAGTTGACCACAACCCCCAGATCCCTCTCTGTGGGGCTGCTCTCCAGCGTCTTGTCACCCAGTCTGTACGTAAAGCCAGGGTTGCCCTGTCCCAGGTGCAGGACCCGGCACTTGCTTTTGTTAATCTTCATGCGGTTGGTGATCGCCCAGCTCTCCAATCTGTCCAGGTCTCTCTGCAAGGCCTTTCCACCCTCAGCTGGGTCCACAACTCCTCCAAGTTTGGTGTCGTCGGCAAATTTGCTCAGAACACCTTCTAGTCCTACATCCAAATCATTTATAAAAACATCAAAGAGGACTGGCCCTAAAATGGAGCCTTGAGGGACCCCACTAGTGACCATCCGCCAGCCAGATGAGGCCCCATTTACCACAACCCTTTGAGCCCTGCCCGTCAGCCAATTGCTCTCCCATCGGATGATGTTTTTGTTAAGTTATATGCTGGACATTTTGTCCAGTAGGATCCTATGGGAAACCGTGTCAAAAGCTTTGCTGAAGTCCAAAAAGATCACATCAGCTGGTTTCCCTCGACCTTCAATGCATTTAGGTTGAATAACCATGTTGTAAATGGTTTCAAACTCAGTACTGTTCTCACCTGCACCAGTTATAGCTAAGGATCAATCATCCTTCATTTGGCACTACTTTATCATCTTTGATGTTATTCTGTTGAGGGATTCAGCAGCTCTCTCGCCCTAAACATAAAAATCTGACTATTATGGTGCTCACACAGGTCATAACTAGCAAAGGATTGATTATGATTATATTAACTAACACAGCATTCTAAGTATCAAATATCTCTGCCAGCCTCATAACTACCATTTTTCTGAAGGCGTCAGTTCCTAAAAGCCTGCAAATTGTAAAAAATCAGGGTTTCCTGTACAAGGCAGTGGTGGGGAGTAGCATATAGCTCTTACTTTAAGGTAAAATTTCAAAAATATTATGAGTCACATGTCCTCAAGTATTAAAAGGTTTCTGACATCCTTTAAATGCTCAAAAGGCTCTCAAAAGTATGTCAAGATTTATTAAAACTCAAACTTTTCTCACATAGTGACTTTTAAAAGTCAGAAGTGTTATAATTGTTCAAAACGTTCTGATATCTACCATGGTAGAGCTTGCTCTTTTTCTTTCTTCACAAATTACAGTTATCTGGCAGTTACTGAGAAATGAGAAGCACTGATGGGGTATGTGCTTATTTTTGAGACACAGGCAGGTGATATAGCCTTTCCTAGCCATTCATGCTGCCTTACAACAGAGGAATCTCAGACATGCATGGCAAACTGTTTAGGTAAGTATCTCCAAGTAAGTCTTAGCAAAACTGAAATGCATTTATGCACCTTTTGGAAAAGCTGCCTTTAAAAGTATCTGTGTAACTGTAATGTGAACTACCACCTTCAATATGAAAGAAGCTGGCTTGGCTGATAGTAGTTTTGGTCAGCAATATCAGTATACTTTTCCTTTTGGTTCTTCTGAACAAAGAAATGGCCCAGTGGAAAAATTAACGATTTTCCTTTACTAAGGCAATCTCAAGAAATGTACACTTGTGCACTTCAAAAAAAAAAAAAGATATTAAGTTTCCTCTGAATTACCTCTACTGTTACACTTCATACAAAATTACCATGATTACCATGAGGTAAGTGCACAAGAGATGAATTCTCATACTGACGAAAGTCCTCAAGACTGCACTAGGACGAATACCATTTAATAATGACACCAAATTATTCTACAAACCAAACTAGCTAGCAGTGTGTTGCTGCAGTATCACAGGAACAACAGAAAATCCCACTGCACAGTATAGGACAGCAGTGTCTTCTCAAGCTTACAGGCAGATATGTACTGGCTTGCCTCGAAGACAGTCATAAATTAAATCAGCCTTGAGATTATCTATAGAAGACCCTTGTAAGACTCAGAATGTCTATGGTCAGCTTTTTGACAATGACAAATCTTCACCTACAAACTAGGTAAGATGCAATTCAAATATTCTCTGCTTAAACCACCTGGACACTATAAGTTGCTTTCTGGAAATGTAATTTGGGATACATAGTAGAATAACACAACTTCGAAAATACTTTAATGTATTATTTTCAGCATAGAGTAATGGAATTCAAACTTGCAAACAAAATTTAAAGAACTCTGCAGAAAAATATGATTTAAAAACAACTATGAAAAAGCAAACCTACTCTAAACAAAGAGAAATTTGAAAGCATATCAAGCAATGACAGTGCTTCTGGGAAGGACTGTGCCCTTCCTTGTAAGAAAGGCCGTATTGTGCTTAAGAAAAAAGAAGCTTAGTTACAGAAATTCTCAGAAGCATCTGAGACGTTATATATCCAATCAGACTTAGACAAAGAGAGACTGAAAATGCTCTGATTTCTTCTTCCAGTAGAACTAAAGCCAGCTTAAATGGAGGTCATCACTAAACACACTGAAAGACCACATCTAAACTGGTCTTTACCTTGTTCTGGAGACAAGCTGCTACTTAGAATACTAGACAAACAAATAAGAAGCAAAAGAAGTACCTTTTTAAATGTTTCAATGTTTGCTATTGAATGTCACTGCTTTGAATTGGTATTTACTTGTTGTGGGTAGCGTCTACCTGCCAGCACAAGGATGAATGTCCTGTCACGTGGTCCCTGTTCTTTTCCATGCTTCCAGCTGCTAGGCTACATTAAAAGACACTGAGAAAACACAATAAATCTTTTCCTAACATTTTTACATAAACAATGTACATTGTATTCTAAAAAAGTTTTGCATTCAGACAAGTAGTGAAGAAGTCTAACAAGTCACATGTGGAAATGAAAGCCAATCATTAGTGAACCTTCAGTGCAAAGTGCAAATAGAGCTTGAAAGCACTTATTACTGAAAAAAAAAAAAAAGTTACATTTCATAATCAGTAGTCCATTGCAGTCATTCACATAATATGAAAAAACTGGTCATGTTTCATGCTTTTGCGTGCACATCAACCAATATTCTCAAATGCCAGGTAATGATTGCCCTTCTAGTCCTCCAAAACTAAACTGAGACTGCCTACCAATTTAACCTAGTAAAAAAAGGTAGTGAATGGAGAGAACCAGATTTAGTACCAGTCACTTTATACAGCACATCAAACTTTATGTTCTCAGACGGTGTATTCTATTTTTGTGAGGTGTTTAGTGGCTCAGAGGTGTACTAGTAGTCATGACTGGAGCTCCTCAGGAGTTGACACTTCGTCCACTACTATTCAGTTGTCTTATAAACCATCCAGCTACAACAACTGAATCAATCTTAGTTTGCAGATGACACTGAACGTGGAGAAGAATTAGAGTTGACAAAGAGTTGCTGTTCAGAGAAACCTAGACAATAAGAACTGCATGAAAATTTTAAAAGAAGTCCTGCACCCAGAATAAAAAAAAAATCACAAGTAGCAGCACAAGCTGCCCCATTAGTACCAGACCACAAACATTTGCACCAAAATGCTGAGAGAGAACTGAATACCGAATTTAGAGAGTTAGGGCAATTCTCCCGTAGTTACAACTTCCAGTTGTAAGAGACAGGACAGTATGTGCTCTTTATAACCACGTAAATCACAGAAAGACAGAAATCTAATGAGGGAAAAATAAAACTGGAAGATTTTTAGATGGGATAAGTAATATCTAACTACGCACTTCAAATGTTTATATAAAAGATATTCTTAAAGTACAGATCGACAAAAAGTACTAATTGTATTTAAAAATGAGTCCTATAAACCTTAATGTAAATGCACAACCCATTCCAAACACCAAGCTGAAGATTGGAATTATATGACAGAATTGTGGCATCTGAAAATTTGTTCCTAAATTCAGTGGACTGAGGCCACAAATAAGATCAGTATTAGCTATCGATAGAGGAACAGTTTTCTATGGAGTAAGATCCAGGCCTGCTCACTCTCCTCCAACTGCAGGTTCCTTCTTTGCACAGCTCTACACTCTATGTTAGATTTGGGAATTGGCTGGTAGTAACGTAACAGTCTCCTGTATTCCTTCCTTCTCCTCCACAGGTAACTGTCCCTTTAGGATCAGTCTGCATAGGACCAACAATTCATCAACTGATAGCAGTTTTTCAAACTTGACCGAAATCCCTTTTTTTTTTTAAATCAATTTTTTTTTAGCCTTTTGCTTTGTTTCAAAGTTCAGAAGTTACTGCTCAAAATAAGTATCCTATCCCTTCTCCTTTCACCAAACTCCTTTAAATGGTATTTTAGATACAAAATGAAATATACCTTGCTACAACTTTTGCCTCAAATTGATGAGCATTTAGCAATATGTTCTTCTAGCAGACCCCTTTCACCAAGCAGAGTTTTTTCGGAATTGTAATTAGAGAAAACAATAATGTAATTTGACTTTAAATACAGGTATCACATTGGATTACAAAGCTGAAATTTTGCAAAGTAATAAACTCACAACAGATTTTAGTCCATGATATTTCACATTCCTCCATTTTTAAATTCACCAAACCAACAATGCTGAAAAGCAAGGCAATCTTTTGGTAAACAGGAATATCCAGCAGCAAGATATCAAGGACATATTGTCTTTACGCTGTATCAGGCTCTTACCTAAAAAGACAAGATTTGGTTTTCATATGGTGTTAAAACTAGCATCTCTCTTCCCACAGAACCTCATGTACTAAGACCTTCCAGGACGTGGCAGACATAGGAAAAGGATGTGATACTGATTTAGGAAGCAGCAATAGTTATCAGAACCAAATCTATTCTTTACTTTTCAAGTCCATGAAGATTTGGAGTGCATTCACAAACACACGTAAGACACAAAACCTCCCTACTATTACAAAGAAGAGCTATCCAAGTGATATTGTTCTGTGTTGGTTATTTCAAATTCCTCCCCTTGGAGAATATCCCCAAGATTCATTTTAGCATCTTCAAAGCTATGGAGAACAGGAATTCCTTTCTGACAACAGAAAGCTTGTTGTGCTGTAACTGGCTTGTAAAAATAGTAAATTGTGTAAAAACGTTATGAAGGTACATTTGGCATGGCAACAACAAAATGAACAGACCAGAGTTTTTGATAGTATGTGCTGTACCCAACAAAGGGCACAAACAAATAAACCCCATGCTATGTGAAGAAAAGCTGTCTTTCAAACAGGTAACCTACCTTAAAGCCAATTCCTCCAGTGCCACTTAATCCAAAACAGAATAAATAAATTTAAAAAAAATATTAATGAATTAAAAAGCCATTTCATGTGTTGTGTACAGACTCCATATTCCCTACATATTCTAAATGGATAATAAACTACAATTTGGATACTACTATTAGGTTAACATTAAAAGATAGAAGCAAGTCTTTTAGCTGCATAGATTGATTAGCAAACCGAGCACACATTTCTAACATAAGAAACTGTATCAAGAAGCTAAATTCCACACAAGTCTTGATGGAGATTTTATGTATACACATTGAAAACTGCTTTGATTCCCCGCACAGACTAAGTTAAGCGGCAGAAATGACTCACAACTAAAATATTCCTATTATGGGAGGTCACTAGATGGATTTTGGATTTTGAATCAGGAATACTTGTAATGTGCAAACAGCTCTACGCTAATTCAGCTTGTCAGTAACATTGCTACAGCTAAAATAAACTGAATAACATTATAAATATATCTAACAGGGACAAAAATCAGAAAATACTTGGTATTTTGCAAAGAACAGTTTTTAATGTACATTCATTGCTTAAACTTGTTTAAAAGAACCTGTCTGCTGGATTTTTCAAACATGTATTACCCAGTAAACAAATTAAATGTTTTATTTTTACTTTCATGATAAAAGTATAATGTCAAGAGTAGGTAATCTTCCTTTGTCCAAATAAAACACTTGGAAGGAAACCTGTAAGGTCTTTGATTCACATGTTAGCAGTATATAAACAACTAGAATATCATTCAAGAAAAAAAAAGAAGTGGCCCAGACATTTTAAAATGGTAGTGTGATTTAAAATACCAAAATGGGAAAGAATTCACTGGTTTCATTCTTGAAACTTTCAAGAATTTGTGAGCTCTTCTAAAATCATTACTTCTAATAAAGGAAGACCTAGGCTGCAGTCCAAAAGATAGAAAGCAAAAGCTACAGTTGAGAACATAATTTTGCAGCCACAATTTCTAACATTGTTTCTGTTGAAATTCTGTTTTGGAAGTCAGTATTGTAGAATAGCTTTAATATTATCTTTCTCACGTTAGTTACAGATGCATCACAGCTTACAACATGCTTTATAATGGCCTTTTCACAAACAATAAAAATACTCTCTTTTATTAACTTCAGTCTGTCAGACTGGCTGTAAATTTTAAGTGAACTGCTGAGGCACAGCATAGTCCAGGTGATTTTTTATCAAATGACCTAAGGCAAACCTTAATACCTCAGACGAACACTATAGTATATCCACCCGCAATCTGATACAATATTTAGGCTGCAGCCATTCAGTAATACAGTAAAAAACTGCAATATTAATTTTTGAAGACATGCTGGAATCCAAACTTCTTGGAAATTGTGTTGGGTAATCATAGAAATACTCTTTAACTGTTTCAAACTTTGCTATACTTCTAAGTTTCCTAGTGCAGATTTATAGCACATAGTCTTCAAACAAGCACAGCTTTTGTTCCCCAAGACTCAGCTGCTACACCACCCTAAAAAAGACTGTATTTTTTTATGTAATTTAAAAATTGTTAGACACCGTGCTAAAATGATAAACTAATTAAATCTCTTATTTACATCACATAAAGCAAAATATGATTTTAAAATATCAGAATACAAATACGTAGTGATTCTTGAATTACGGGAACTGAAAAGTTGTTTTTCTTGCTATTGTTTGACATCAGATACTGCTGTCAACCACTGTTTCATTCCTCATGACGCAGTTTTTCTGTGGAAATAATGAGACAGAATATACATTTCTCCTCTTTTCTCAGCTGCAGACACCTGCCTTTAAAAAAAGGAACAAAACAAACCTGACTGAACTTGAGATTTTAATTTGAATGTATGCACTGAGGTAAGAAAGGGTTAAGGTTTATAGACTCTTTCAGTGTTTTAAACATGGCTGTGGAGCTGTTTCCCCTGCCAGCTTGTTCTGGCTCCTTTGAAACTGCAAGAAAGCCTCAGATTTCTTGTTTCATTTTCTCCTTTTCCAGCCCATACTTAGCACAGTTCAGCTATTCCTACTTCACTTGTATTTTACTTCATTTTCCACTTTTTCTTCATCATTCTTTGTTTGCAGTAAATCTTCTTCAGCTTCTTTGGAGCCACACCTTCATTTCTAACAGGCTTAGCTGGATTGCCTTTTGTTTCCATAGTTACTGGCTTTCCCTCACAGGGTGTGTCCGACTGCCCTTTCACCCCCGTCATCTAGGCACGTTAAAAAAAAAAAAAAAGAATTAATAATCTTAAATCTGTATTAAGCATAGACACACAACTACCTGCAGAGAGCTGCCCTCTACTTCTCATTCCAGCCAGCCTCAGAGGCTGTATCTGGACTGGGTGACAGGCACAATTGGTCTTCCTGTCACCAGTGGGATCTGCCCACACGCCTGGATTTCCGTTTGGCAGAAACCAAAGCACACAACATAATTAGAAACTGCTCTGTTTTGCCCTCATATGAGGTCAGGATGTAGGTAAAACATACAACTGGCATAAAAAGTATCCCACAGTCTACTAAGCTAGGCATAGTTAGCATGTGGGTTTTCAACAAATCAGCAAATCTACACCAAAAGGAAAAAAAATAATGCCTGATTTTTTTTTATTATTATTATTTTTTTTTACTTCTGACATGTCCATACATAAAATACATCAAGAAAAGCACCCTCAGAAGCAAAACTAGGAAATCCTTATAAATGGAAACACTGTATCTGTTTCAGTTGCACTGAAAGTCTTAAAATTACAAACATTTTATTTAAGGCAAATGCTACATTATTTTTGGTGTCCAACAGCACAATTAACTAATATTAACAATGCAGAACTCCTTTCTGAAGAGATTTTGCCGAACAGGGAAAAAGGTGCATTTTTAAAAAACACATTAGAAGAGAACTGGAATAAAAGTTCAATATAATGTCTTATAGAACAGACCTCTGCGAGTAGAATTCACCTCACCTGACCGTACCTGTTTACAGCTGTGCTCATCATCTATACTTCTGTAGTCATTAGGGAGAAAATAACTCTACAGCACGAGTCCTGCAGTCTACTGAAGAGGCCTGTCCTGGTGCAAAGGTAGATCTACACAAAGTATTCCATTTCCCTTTGTTGAAAGTATAACAAGCTCCAATATTGCTTTTCCATAAAAGTTAAGTAAAATGAATCCCAGCTGAAATACCTTTCAGGAAAAAGGCATCCCTATTCCTGGCAGTAGATGCATAAGTCTAAAAGATCTCTCATACCCCCAGAGATGACAGATAATTTCATCAGCTACATCCAGTGGATTAAAATAGATAATTTCAAGACTGGTGATCTGTTTTTCCATTAAGTGTGATACTGACCTTGTGTTTCCACATGGATTCTTGGGGTGCAGGTGGAAAGGTGCATGGCACTCTGCCATGATTCATGTGATAGGGCAAAGGGAGGCTGGGATCTAGTGGCACCCAAGGGACTGACAATGTGGCAGGTACTGTGGGCAAATCACAATGGGCCTTATGTAAGTTATACGATGCTCTCGTTGCCTTGTCAAGACAACTCTTGTAGATTGCAACTGATGAATCTCCTGCGGCATGAGTCAATAGATAAGAGCCCTCCTGCAAACTGAAAAGATAGATATAAAAATTAAAAACACTATTAGTTTGTTTTGTTGTTTCACTTCATCTGACCATTTGACCAGGACTAGTAAGTTTCTAATGCTGAAACAAAGCAACTTTAGGTATTTACTTATCTGTCCCTATTTCACAAAACGACTATGGACAAAAATGAGTGAGTTAAACTGTATTCATAAATGCTTGCCGATTTATATTTTTCTAATATACTTATAATGAACAAATTTATCATCAATGTATGTCATCAGTTACTTACATTATGTTTCAACAAAACATTTAAGCATATGTTGAAAACTGCCCACTTACAGCAAACTGTAACATTTTATTTAACCAGCATCTTACCAAGCACAATGCTTATATGGATAGACCCAAAGAGCAGAATTGCTTTATACACACAGGATTAAACAGGTTTTCAAGAAGATAAACGTCGAACAACTGCCCATATAAAAAATCTTAGTGACAAATTACAAAGCCACAGAAATTACTAAGCGCAGGAAAACTCGTCTGTAATTCAAATTAAGATGCTTCACACAGTGCAAGAAACTTGCTTCACAAAAAAAAAAAAAAGGAAAAATTTGCAGACTGAAAGCCCTGAAGTAGATAAATAAAAAAAAAAAAGGAAACAGAAGAAAGGTTACAATGGTGTACAGAAAAAAACATAAGCTGTTATACTAAGCAGAAGGGAACATAACAGTCAGTGTTACTGCTACACATAAAGTAAAAAGAATATAAAAAAAATAAAAAGTTCAAGTTCTAAACGTCAGCATACATACATAGTATTACAACTTACTCCTGTTTAATCAGGTTGGAAGTGTCCAGCCTCCTCTCTTGAGTAAGTGTTTCATAAGAAACAAGCTCTTATTCTTTTGCATCATTTACACAGAAACTGTAACCCTAAGAACACTTTTACATGGTATTACATTATGCTGTGCTAGACCTAAAAAATCTAAAATATTTCATGTATCCAAAAGAATCCTCCAAAAAATCAAAGAGTAGACAACTATTCTACAGAAGAAATAGGATCACTTGGATAACACTGCAAATAAATATGGCCAATAAGAATAGAGAACTTACTCAGACACTTTCTTCAAAATGTGATGAAGTATATTCAATGAGTTTGCAGGCCTGTAAAAAAGGATAAGAAATAAAAAAGTAGTTACTTGTAAGGCTAATTATAATTTCAAATTCATTATTAAAGAACTACTAAAAATACTCACTTAATCAATCCAAGTTTTTCTCTTAATATTTCTGGAGAAATCTTTTCTAGCATAATAAGCTTTGATGTAAAAGCATCAATACGCCCTGTAAAATATCAATACATTTTTTTTTTTTTTCAAAAAAGAAAGAACAACCAAATATAAAAGCATAACTTGCAGACCTAATGCTTTTTAAAGGGAATAAAATTTTTTGCTCTTTTACACTGTAGAGCAGTGAAAAGTACTTATTGCACAGTACATGAAAGTAAAACGTACAGTTCAGTTGCTTTTCATTATGGGTAACTGAATTTGGACTGTCTTCTAAATCAGGGAAATGTCCATGATTCCAGTAAATCTCACATGTTGCATGAGGTCTAGCAAATGTAACTTCATTTTGCCATGGCCTTAATCTTGTCTGCTTATTTGTATCTTCCCAAATTCTTCTGAGGCGTTTAACACTAGGCTTCCTCACTGTACACATCACCCAAGTTTATCTTTTAAGGTAAATTTACCTCGGTGTTTAATTTACCTCATTTTCTATTCTGATATGGTATCTGAACATTTATGTTATTTCATATTGTGAGGATATCTTTGCCTTTCTTTTTTTTTCTTTTTTTCTTTTTTTTTCTTTTTTCTTTTTTCTTTTTTTTTTTTTTGAAAAAATTACAGCTTACTATTCCGGCCTTTTTCATAGCAAATTGGTAAAGACTATTTATCTTTGACATAGCTAGGAATAGCAATTCAAAGCTTTTCTCAACACATTTTTATAATAACTGCTGAGAGGAATGGTTTAGCCCAAATTTTCACTTAATAAGCAATAGAGATCATTACCGTAGCTTGTACATTGATGTGGTGACCTATGAAGCCAAGTTCTCATGTTGAGATTTTCCCAGAAAACTGTTCTATTACAGTTCCCACGAGGAGAATGAGGAAAAGACAGCATAATAAAAATGACCTGCTCAATACAATTAACTGCCTTGCTACAAATTTGCTCTTGTAGGTAGTCTACACGCTTCAATTGTACAATTATAACTGCTAAGCCAAAGCATTTCACATTCAAGGATAAACATTATTCAGCAATTTGTTATTGTCATCTGACATGTGATGTCAGATGACCAAGTAATAACTCTTTTTTTTACTAGATTTTCAAAAAGGCACCAGGACATCTGGTTTCTTTTAAATACCAGTGCATTTACTGCTTTTCTTGACATCAGTATTTTGTATAAGGCTTAAATACCTAGGATTAATACTCTGCATTGCTAACTATAAGAAAAGAAACTTGAAGTAATTTTATTTTTTTATAATGTGTTCTCCATTCCTTATTAGTGTCTTGTCAAATCAAAATCTTCTCCATTCTAAACTCATTGACAGCATAGCTGGGAAAAAAAAATCTATGAACTACTCATACCTGATTTATATTACTGTATGTTATAATTGAGAAGTGACTGACTGAAAATACTTGACATTCAGTAAGTTACCATACAGTAATTTTTTCCAATCAGTTTTCAAATCATCTTTATTTAAAAATCAATATTATTCTATTTAGGTGAAGGTAAACTATACTTGGGCACTTAATGCCAATTGAAGAATAGTATCTGGGATGAAGCATTTCCATTTTTAATCAGCAAAGCTTATCACTTTTTTTTTTTTTTTTTTTTTAAACTGATTAAACAAAATACAAGTCCTCAGTTTAGGAAATATGACAGAGATTACTTCCCTCTGCAGATGCAGGACTTCTTATTTGAGTAGTAAGGGGTCTTAAAGCAACCAACCGAGCAATGTGCTCTGCCATCTGGAGGATGGCACACTCTGTTTGAAAATAGTATCTCTGCTTTTGTACAAACTGTAAGTCTATGAGAATATATGAAATAAAAAATTCCACTTGATCGCACATCTTGCAATTTACACAGGAGGCAATGGGTAAACTTCCGTTTTCTCTCTCATCTCCTGAGCTGGCAGCACGGCTGAGTCACTGTGCTGAGCTACGAGATTCTTCCCTCAGTCAGAGTAATACCACTGAAGAACACTGGACAATTATAGGGCACTGGCCAAGGTCCAAAGAACTTTCCATCTAGCAACACAAAAGATTACTAATACTGTGAGTAGTTCTTTCAAGATCCAAGGGCTCCTAACCAACTTACCACTGATGTCTGCTAAGCACTCAAAACTTCAGTTATAAAGGGTTCACTTAAGATCTACATAGTCTCAGAACTATCTGAATAAGGTGGCAAGTTTTCCAGGTACTGCATTATTAATGGTAAAAATAAGTTTTTAAACATTTTTTTCATGTCTTCACAGGTGTACTATCATGTGAATTCAAGAAGAGCACTAAGTCTGTGTCTTTACTATTGCTAATTTTAAAATTCCTTTATGATAGGTCATGTTTCATGTTAAAAATTTCATACTGTAGTATGATCTAAGAGGATGAATAATTCAAGTCTGTCTTTCTGTTTACCCCAAATACATGATAGCAGTAGTCTTACTTGCACTTATCAGAGTAACGAACAACGAGACATTCACCCTATTCTAAGCTGCCTGTAATACAGGGATATTATCACTGTTGGAGAATTGTCACTTGTGTTTCAGGAAAAAAAAACATGCCATTTGAAAGAAGTGTCTAACTAAACCAGGACACTTGCCACAATGTTTTTCACAGCTCCCCAAAAACATCAGCTGAAAAGCAAAATTTTACAGCTGACTTTTAACATTTTTAACCATAGCAGAAAGAAGCCTGAAGTAGAACATGGCAACAGTTTCCTATTAAATGCTGTGGCAGATGCTTTTTCACAAAACTTAATGTTGACTTCCATGCATCTATTTTACCTACCTCTATGAGAAACTACATGTTGGTACCAAAAATCCAGAGCCCCCAACCTGCCTACCTGAATAAACCACATATTCTGTCAGTATCAAAAGTTAATCACATTCTCAGAGTCCATTTGTGTAGCATTAGAAAATAAATAAATAAATCGATATATATATACATATGTATATTTTGTTGTTAAATAGTTGGGAGGAGGCCTGCCCCACATGCTAGGAGTACCACTTTAACTCCTACAAGCCCCGCCCCTCCCGGACCCAGGTTTTGCTGCTGGAAGAAGCACATCCAAGAGCTGACAAACAACGAAGACTGGAATAACTAGTGTTTCTCAATCTCAGGGACACTTTCTCCTGAGCACAACAGAGAGCCTGTCAGAAGCTCGTCTATCAAAGCCTGCCTGCCTAGGGCTCCACACCCGTTTCATGGTTAGCAGGAATCTGCACCGTACAGCGGAGACTAATAAACCTCTGAATCAGGAAGGGGTGACTGCTAATGCCAGAACAACTCCTGCAGCACACAGACTTTTTTCTCCTACATTCCTGCGAGCCCCAGTAAAGGGGTGTTGGCTGGGTGAGCTGTATGCAAACTTCTGCACCCTAGCCATATGTTAAGTATCCTGTTACTGATGTAAGATTAGATAGACGTGCATTCTTTCAGCCTGCATGCTCTGTAAGCCAATCATCAGCCTCTACAAGCTTCCCTATTTCCTCACACTGCTTGTGCCTCCAGAGAAGCTAATAAAAAGTTTTCTTGAAGGGGCTAAATTTCAGTGCAGTTTAGTACTGTTCTTCTACGCAAAAAAGGAAAAAAAAAAAAAAAAAGCTTCAGTAGAGTATGTCAATATAAATTAGAAATGGAGAACTTTGTATGTCACTATTGTCACTATTTTGTCTTTGTGAGGAATTTTAGAGGGGGGAAACCCACATCAATTATTACTTTCAAACTTAGAAAGTAGAAAAAACTTTCTATAAATATGGAGAGCAGACAAAGAGATTCTATCAGCTAAACTATCACTTAAAACGTATCTGATTTCCCACAAACCTTATACTTCCATTATAAGATGCAAAGTTTCTAAGTAGAAATTAGGAAAGAATTAACTGAACATTTCTAAAATAGCATTCTGGCATGAGTCATCAAGAGCAAAAAGTGTCATTCAGCGCAGAAGTGGAAAGGTTAAGACAACCACAGGCCACAACTGCTACCATAACAACCATAAAAACAGAGATCTTTCTACAACAGGAAAGCAAGGCCCTGCTGCAGAACATTCATTCACTGTACAAACAGGATTGGCCTCACCCCAAAGCAAGCACCAAACGTGGTATAAGATGCATTTTGGCTAACTTCTTTAATTGTTGCAGATCTTTCCTTCTAAAATGTTATTAATTACGAGGTAATTGGTATTAAAGATATGTGTATATTAAAAACTTTGGTAAAATAATCTGGCCAAGTTCTTTATACATACCTTTTTTTTTTTTTTTCTCCACAAAACAGTACGTATCCTACTAGGCATAACATTTCTTGCCTTCTAAAAGAATCATTGTACAAACATGAATACAGCATATTTTACTGCAAGTTTGTTAAGGAAGTTACCCTTATAACACTGAATTCCTAGATTGTTTGGTTTAAGTTTTGATTTTGCACAAAATGGTCTTTACACTAAGACACATTTCTGCTAACATGTCCATGCTTTTTATCCCCAATTTATTGTATTTTTATTTTCTATGCTCTGATTTACGGCTGTAATCTCTTCTACACAGGATTTTTTACAACTTCATTCGCACTGAATACACATTACTTCCCATTCATAGACATTATTACATCATCTTTTTTTCCATCTGTTGCATGATACAGGACAAAGAGTATGAAGACCACCCCATGACAGGTATGTTTCAAGTCCTAACACTTATTAGGAAGTAAAATTTAATGGATCAGTTAGATATGGACAATGGAAAATCTGGAAAATGTGGTCATGTAAGTGTGATCATGTAAGTGTGTTCAAAGCTCCTGAGCAATACAACTGCTATAAAAAGTTTTCAATAAACTCATGCTATGTATTGTTCTCTTTCTGCAAAAGCATAAAGTTATTTTCAGTACTTTAATTTTGAGACATAAGTATATTCTTTTCAGAGCTTTCAATTTCTCATAGTTTTGAGCAATAAAACTTGGTCTAGTTTTATCTTGCTTGCTTTTCCTCATTCTCTTATCTTATCTGTCTACATGTTATCAGTGTAGAAGTATAAACATTATTGGCAGCTGTAAAAAAGAAACAAGTAGCATTTGACCCTTTCCCATACCAAAGATTCAAAGCTTGAGAAATCAGTATTTTCTAAACCACACACCTGATGGTCTGTTCTTCACCACTGTTGGTATGTGATAACAGATTCACTTAAAATGATTTCACAAAATGATAAAACGTATTATAGAACATATCTCATAAAAAGGTATTTTTACAACCCTTACACCACAGTAATTCATGTTGTATATGACTAAAAAAAAGAAATAATAAAGACAACTAATTTCTGAAAATTAAAAATCAGGGCTATAGATACATTTTTATTTGAAGGGCAAATATATGCAGTTATTGAAAAAAACATTACTGGATGCTAACCATCCAAAACCAAAGTTGGAATATCACCACATGGAAAAAAATTTAGACACAAAACTTATTTAAGATGAAAGTGAAAATCTAAATTAGAAAATGAAACTAAATAAGGACATGTGAAATATATTTGTAATAAATACTTCTCTCATGTTATTCCATGAGCATTCAGACATACATGTTTCTTAAGCAAAAATCAACACAAACTTACCAATATAAAATAAACATGCAGAATGCAACATACTCTCTGTCCACATCTGACATACTTCACTTTCCGTAAGAGCTTCAACACCATAATAGGCTTGGTATTCCAGTTTTGGCAACAGGAATATTGGAACAACCTACAAAAGTGAAAATACACGCAAAATCAGCACTGACTGTCAAAAAAAAAATGATTACTGCACTTGAACTACATTTTGTCACTAATAATCAATATATTTTTCTACTACGCCAAGGACTTCATGTAATGGCTCATGTTTTATGAAACCCAAGCTATGAGCTTAAGGCTATGGAGACACTATTTAAAGGAAGGTGAAATGGAACAGGGGGAAGGAAGCCTAGGCAAGGTTTTACAAATAATATTGAGACTATTATTGTGAAGTACCCACTTCTATGCTCTACTGCCCTCTGCAGGAATTTAAGAAAAAACACACATAATTATACTGATTTGCTCATTCTTAGAATTCTGCCATTTAGTCACCTTGTCAGAACCTCACCTTTGCATGTTTAACAGAGAAAATATAAGCCTCTCTCAATTGAGACAAACTAAGGTTTAAACTCCAGCAGTAGTTTTCAAAAATAAACAGTGTTCAAATTCTGATTAGAAAACCAAGCAGCCATTCACAGGCTTTTACATGCAGTGGACAGCAAAGCTAGGATAACTCTTCAAAATAACGATTCGCAGCACAGAATCTTAACAAGTAATCTGGGCTACTGAGACCAATTTCTATTTCAACAAGAGTATAAACAACTCCTAGAGCATATGTATACCTGCCTACCACCATTCTGGTATTTTCAGGAGGGAAATGCCAGATCAGATTTATCAAATGATTGTGAGGACTCTTGACAAAAAATGAATTACTGAGAATTCCAGAATAAGCTTTCTTTCTCCCGATGTAATGAGGACCTGATATAAAAAGGAATATTTAGATTTCACTTGTACTTGAAGCATTTTAGCTCTTAGGATGAACAATTTGCTAAAATGTATTCCACAGTCTTTTCAAGCAATGTACTTGTGATCCTGAACAACCTCAAAATGTTTGGTGAAAAACTAATTGGTGCATTAACTTTTAAGAATAGTTCAAATTGATTTTATGTGAGTATAATGATATATCATATTACTGAAATATAGCTGAAATAAGAAATGCAAAACTACATTTATCTGTTCTAATCAAGTAGGCTAAAAAAAAAAGTTGCTTTTCTTCCTAGAGCAAATATTTACTTTAAAAGATGTACACCATAGAGATACAATTAAAATGGAATAATATTTAAGGAACAGATTACAGTTGAGCACAACTTGAAAACCAAAAAAAACCACCACACTAAACCAACCAACCAAAAACCCTGAACAAAAAATGCTGTACCTTTTGATCTTTTTTCTTTTTATGGGAATGTGGCAATGGCTTCGCTTTCTGCACATTGCAACGCACAAGTAATAACAGATCATCCAAACTGAATAGCTTATACACAAGGTTGCCATCCTGAGGTGCTTTATACTCTGAAGGGTTTTCTGCAAGCATCTGAAGTTCATCTGGCAGCTTTCCTATAGAAAAAATAAAATTGAAAATGACAAAACTTGCATATACTTCACCATGAGGCTAATTAGCTTTTTTTCCCCTCTCACGGTGGCTTTTTTGTTTGACAATAGTTTGGGGGTGAATGGCCTGCTCATTAGGCACAAGAAGTCACTTCTATTTTTTTGTTTGTTTGTGTTTTTTTTTTTTTTTTTTAAATGATTTTGGAAAATGTCTACTGTAACTTCTGAGGAGTACATTATTAAATACTCCCCCATATTTTATCCTTCTTATTATATTTTTTACACAAACAGACCATTCTATACAAATAGAATTGAAAGGCTGTTTTCTATGTCACAGTCACTCAGTATAAAACATACTTAGAATGAATGTCTACTGAGAACTGCCATCCGTTTATTAGTTACTGAAACAGCTCAAACCTCGGGCTTAGATAGTGGTGCAAAGGTACTGTTAAAAAATCATATCCAAATAAACGTAACAGAAGTACTATTAGGATTTTCTTCACACAAAAGAATTACAATGTTTTTGCTCCTAAGTTTTAGTGAACTGTCTCAATTTTACTCAATACCCAACGAACACTGTTACTTACTCTTTGGCACGCCCTGAAAAAGCCATGTCCAGGTATTCCTAGATGAGCCACTGGGATTGCAGGCAGGACTTGGCAAAGTTTCTGCATGGGAGGTTGCTGACAGTTTTGGAGATTGAGGCACATGAGCTTGCACAGCAGTAGAACTATCACAGCTCACTAATGGCTGCTCATGACCTTTTCGGGAAGGTGACTTAAGGAGTTCTGTTTGCATTTTTAAAATCTGTCCCACAGGATCAAATTCTTTGGACAACTTTCTTGTTAGCTTTCTGGAAGCACTTTTTCCCTGATCGATGACTTCTGAGCAATCAGTCATACTTGCTGATGGATTTTGGGTGGGGGAAGGTGACTTGGAAGTCCGTAATGAGGTATGAGAAACAGTGTTTGGTACAGTTGTTTTGCAAGAATCAGTGTTTTTACATTCTGTATCAATTATCAAATGATCTTCATCAGTGTCACTACTGCATAAAGGAGTGTATGTCTCATTTTTGTGCGCAGGATCAGACTCTTTCTTGAAACTAACAGCATTAGATGAAGTATTTAATTTTGTTTCATTGTCTGATACATTCGTGTTCATGACATGCTGTGCTTTGTTCAACTCTCCCTCCTCTGACTGAAAGGTTTTATGAGATGAGTCTTTTCCAGGGCTGAAGCATAGAACGCCACATGATGGAAACTGTATGTTGGAATATGATGAAACTCCTTGCTCAGAAACTGAGGTCTTCCCCTGTTCAGCTCCACTGCTTAGAGTGGATGTCTTTTTCTTTCCTAATTTTAGGTCATGTGACAAAACTTTAACAGCATTACTAACTGTAGAAGTATTTTCTGTTTTAGAAGTCGTTGAGGGTTTGACAGCTGCACCAAAAGTTTCCAGTTCTGTAACATCATCATCAAACTCCATTCCTGTGTCATTTGGAAGAGGAATCTGCCTGTATTCGTAAGTATCAGAAGCCATCTTCACACAGGGACAAAAAGATAAATATAATACAATCAAACAGGCCAATAAATAGAATGTTTGAGTCACAAATGAGACACCTGAAAAACCTGAAAACTGTTCTACTATCCACATTCTGACTGTTGGGGACAGGGGCTGTTAATGAAAAATGCCAGTGTTTCATGTGGAATATCTTAAACCATAGGTATTGAAAGGCCTTTCAAAAGAGAAGAAAAGCCCGTAAGACTTTTATTTCCTAAATAAACCAGTCAAAATATATTTTAAAGAAGTAAACATTAAATCTGAGCTGAAGACAAAATGGAAGCATTTAAAGGAACTAGACAAACAGACATCTTTAAAGACAGTGCCTGTGCCTCAATAGTAGAGAAACTCTACAGGAAAGCTAAACTTGCTTTTATTAAGACACAAGTAACTTAGAACTATAACCTAGCGTCCTGGTTTCAGTTAGGACGGAGTTAAATTTTCCTCCTAGTAGCTGGTAGAATGCTATGTTTTGGCTTAGGATGAGAAGTGTGCTGATAACACCTCAATGTTTTAATTGTTGCAGAGCAGTGCTTACACCAAGCTAAGGATGTTTCAGCTTCTCACTCTGTCCTGCCAGTGGGCAGGCTGGGGGTGCAGCAAGAGCTGGGACGGGACAGACCCAGAGCAGCTGACCCAAACTGGCCAAAGGGGTATTCCATACCATCTGACGTCATGCTAAACAATATATAGGGGTGGCTAGCCGGGGTGTGGGGGCCGGCTGCTCGGGGTTAGGCTGGGCATCGGTCAGCGGGTGGTGAGCAATTGCATTGCGCATCACTTGTTTTGTACACATTATTATTAGTAATACTATTATCATCATTATTGTTATTATTATTACTGTTATTATTATTTTTCCTGTCTTAATAAACTGTCTTTATCTCAACTCACAGGCTTCACTTTCCCATTTCTCTCCGCCATCCCAGAGAGGGAGGGGAGAGGGTGAGCAAATGGCTGTGTGGTGTTTAGCTGCCGGCTGTGTTAAACCACAACACCTAGTAGGATTTTTGTTTGTTTGTTTCATTTTGTTTTACCCAAAGAAAATGTGAAGCTACATACTTCCCACTGCAGTAGATTGTCCTCAGCTGGTTTGTCCATCAAAATATCAGAAACTGAAATGTAAGACTTCTTAGTTGCTAGGAAATCCATTGGAATTTCATGGAAGACTTGGTTCCTCTCTCTTACTGTCATTTCCTTTTTCAGAAGAGGTGAGTCAATGTAAACCACTTTAGCTGGTTTGCTATCTTTTCAAGAAAGGGAAGTCATTGAGTTCTTATTAAAAGGAAGAAAAAAAAAAAAGACCACTGTACAATTTAAACAATAAATCTTTGAATTTCCAAATATGTTCAAATCCATTCCACATTCACACTAGATATTATGCTCTCATTCACTATCAATGGAAAATAGAAGTATGTCCAGATATAGTGCAAATTATGATCATCCTGAAGCAGCAATACAGAACACATTAACAGTTGATTACATTTTAAACGCAATTCTACATAGAGAATTTCTAAGTAAGAATTAAGGATTCAAGATTCTTCATATCACATCAAAGTAATGGCTGCAGTTTACATTTCTTCTACTCAGTGACTGGATTAGGGCTCTGCTGCTCCACTCTCTTTTGTTTATAACTTATATACACATCATTAATAAATTCATCCAAAACCAAACACAATACCCAGGCCAATATTATATAGTAATCAATGGCACAGGTGGGCCATGCTATCTCTGTTTTAGAAAAATCTGAAGAAGAAATAAAAACACTAATGCGAGATGTAGGGGTGAGGGGAGTGGGCAATGGATACAGAAAAGAAACCCTTTAAGAAACATTATGTAATGCTAACACACTCCCAGCGCCCCACTGGCTGTTAACTTTGAATCTAAAAGTTAAGCTTAAGAACCATAAAGCTGAAACGAAAGGAGTCAGGCACATTATTACAGATAAAGTACTTAAATGTTTCTGTAGAAAAATTAAAAACTTGTAAAACGTGCAGATATTTGCTAGCTACTATTATCCAAGAGTTTGCCATACAAATCTGTGTGAAGTACACACAACAGACATTTCAAGATAATATTCATTACTAATACTCATAATGGAGGGGAAAAAAAGGGGTAACAAGCACTCTATATTCAAATTACTGATGGGGTGCTTGACAAAAGTATAGTATTCATACGATTAGTCAAAACATTTTTCGTTGCGATTGGAAAAATGAATAAATAATGAATGTTCATGGAGTATATTCATTATTCCATGATCTGAATTGGACCTTTTAATTCAGGAAGGCACTTGCTCTTGTTCTTTTTTATTTAAATAAAACTCCAGAGTTTCTATTTATCTTATTGAAACCTGTTCATTTGATAGTATTAACAGCACCATGCAGTTTTTTCCTACCAAGGAGCAGAGTTTACAGTTTTAAGAAGCAAAAGGACATTCAACTGACTTTTTTTCCCCAACTGGAAAACAGCTGTCTCTCTCCAAACCCAACATTAATGGCCATACCTATAGCAGTTGTGACTATTCTCAGTAACGAGGAAAACGAGGTATAGAAAATGATGACATAACCTTGCTATTAGCCTTCCTCCTTGATAACAGATGGCATTCTATATCAATGGATTTTGAAAATTATTTTTTATGATAACTGCACTTAAATTACCATTGTTCTTTAAAAAGCATAGGTATATGACTCGTAATTACCAGATTACACTTGAAAATCATTTACTTCCGATTTTTACCCTTTGAGATGTATGAACTGAATGAGCCAGATTTTATTTGTTAGTTTTTTGTTTTTTTTTTTAATTAAAAACATGTAAGCACTTGAGACATTCATAGATACATTGTAGAGGGCAGCTTCTTCAGAAAGGGTTAAGAATCTGAACTTAGAATTACAATTATGATTTTCATTAACCCAAACTAAACTATTTTATTATTGTGTAAACTAACCAGACTACTATGTTCTCCCTTCCCTCAGTTGATTTTACTGGTCGTACTGATTTCTTGTTTTTCAGTCAGCTGAAAACAGATTATGAGAATATATAAAAGACTTCGTGGACAAAAATGTAGTTTTTGGAAAAAAATGTACTGTACCTGCAGCAGGGATCATCTTAACACAAACTGGAATTTCCCACTGTTCCTTGTAATTTAGTCCATGGTTATTCAGCAAAGTAAATAATGACTGATTACTTAAAACAACTTGAGGAGAGTATTTCAAAGCAAGTTTTTCTGCATTTGAATCTGAACTAATATCCTAAACAGAAAAAGTTAGAATTGAAAAGTTTTTTAGGAAAGACATAGAATTTTAAATTCAAAACCAACCAAACAACATGGGTTAACTTGCACCGTTACAGAAGCCCAAATACCACCAGAATCAAAGGAAAACGTTTAAAAAACAAACAAACAAAAACAAACAAACAAAAACACACGCACAACAACTCTCCTTAAGGTTTTTGTCTGAATCCTACAGTTCCACCTTTCAGCATAAGGAAAAATGTCTTATTTTCTATCTTTCTCCTAATTCCTACTAATTTGAATTACTAGGTCAAACAGGAATTTGGAGGATACTAAAATATAGGAGTACAATGTAGAAGAAAAAACAACACATTCATTCTAACATATATTACAGATGTTCATACAAGTTAAGTAATAGCATCATAAAGCAGTCTAACAGGAAAGCACAATTAAAACTGCACAGTTGTTTGAATACAAATTATCTCTAAAGAACCTTAAATATAAAAACATGAAAAATATAAACGGAGATGACAGAAGTAGAAAAATTATGAATACAGGTCCCCATGAAAAGAAGAGGTTGGGCATGCTCACAAGGCAGAAGAACAATTAAGAACTGTGGAGATAATGGAAGCACGGGAGCCCTAAGGGCCATGAGAGAGAATTTCTAGCCATAGGAACATCTAGCCATATTCTTTTTTCTGCCACCTGAGATAACCTGAGAAATAGTAGTTTACAGCTCTAACACCTTCAATGGTAAATCATTCTCCTGTGTCACCTCTGCTGCTTTCTTAAGCAACAAACGTCTTTGCAATTGCACTGTCTCTGTTGAGAGGTTGGTTTCTGATATGTGAAAAAAATCCTTAAATAGGTGGATAGCAAACTATCTGGAATAAACAGTCAAACTAAGCAAATCATACAGAATGAAAACACTAATCCACTTCCTCCGAGGATGAACACAAACAGCAACAGCAGGTACTTAACCAGGTGGAATGGAAAAGTTGTTCAACTCAGACATGGAGTTTATGCTGTTTAGCAAAGGAGATTTCCAGATTAAGGAAATGTAATATACTTTTCAGAAAACTAAACAGTCTAAAGTATTTTTTCTTATTGTCAGGACTGTTTAAATCACAAACCTTCACCCACCTGCCTTCCCCCACCCACACCCCAGCTTTATAATTGCAAAGCAAAATTTAAACGGAATAATACTCTAATAAACAATTCTATCTAGCTTTCACAATGTATTCTAATTAAAGGGCTACTCTAATGATTCACAGAGAGAAAAGGGAAGTCCCATCATGAAGCACTAGCTCAAAAATGCCATAAGTTGATTTTCAAAGATGGTATGATTGCTATACATGAAATACTACCCAAGTAACAACACAGTACATTTTTCTATGCTGCAAGATGTTTAAGATGAAGACGAAAATAACGAAACAATGCTGCCACATAAGAAGAAACAAATCACTCTTTACTACAATATATGCCATAAAAATGACAATAAAAGGTTACTTACATTTTGCATAATAGAAGCCTTTTTATCTGGAGTTATAAAAGATGTAACAGCTTTATAATCTGTGGGCAGCTGAACAGGCATGGTAGGGAAATACGTTTTACCATATTTTGCTGTGCCCTTAAAGAAAATAGAGCAACACCAGGAAACAACTTTAACTGAAATCATGATGACCCAACATTTTTGTAATGAAATATATTAATAATTTATGCAGGTGCAAGTTAGTGTTATGTTAAGAAGAAAAAAAGGACTATTAATATACAATTTTTAGCTGTAAGCATACAACGAAGGGGGTTAACAGCCTTACTGCCAAGAATAATTTCATTATTTTTACTCAAATGATTTTCACTGAGTTATAATCCCTAACCAAGCATTGGATATTACTTAACAACAAATTCAATCTTGGCATAACATAGTCCGAATACAAATATACTTATTTGAGAATAACAGCAGAACAACAAGTATATGTAGGATATTACCATTACAAGAAGATTTTTTTCCAGCCTAAAGGTCAACTGTGTGTTAAATTTTCCTCCCATGATACTCATGATCTCCTGGAGCGTGTAAAACTCAGGGTACTTTTTCACGTGTCCAATACAAGCACTGAATAATTCCTAACAAACAAACAAACAAAACCTTTAAGCATTTGTGTCTTTCATAAGAGTTTCAATAAATTTATTTCCTGCAGTTGCCATACTTCCATTTCAATATTCTTCCTGTAGAGAATACAGAAATATCTAACAGATTACTTTCAAAGTTTGGAGACATGTTCTGAGAAATTAAGATTGATTATTATCGCTTAAGATAGCTGTAAACTGTAAGACATGAAATCATAAATCCCCCACGTTTTTTTTAAAGCATGATTTTTGTCATCACGTTTCCTAACTGTGTTAATGGGAGAAAAAAATTATCTTGTACATGAAAACCCACAAAATAAAGTATTTTCATGAAATAAAATCAATCCTTCCGACTTTAACTATACTTTCTACCCTGTAATAAGGACATGTATTTTTCTGTTTTATTCTGTAAAAGAAAGTGATACGGTACTTAGTAGAACAGACAAATTTTAGCAAGAAGTATTTAACTAGGCCACTTTTTAATTAAAAGTGTGATACTATGTGGAAAAAAATCAACAGAAAGTCAACCCGTGACGGGAAAGTTTATCAAATCTGTATTCTGGAATTCTTTTCCCAAAATGTGTTATTAAACCAAGAATGATATATAAATTGCAGTCATGTTTGATTTTAAAATTGTCAGACTGGATATTTAACACAGCATGAACTTGCAGATGGTTATGATTAAAGCCTGATTAACCTCTGATTAAAGTGACTTTGTAACATACTACTTTGGAGGAAAGCTTAACATTATGCTCAATGCGTGCTCCAGTAGTGTATGTTTATTTTCAGATTGTCAATGTAAATGCACTTAAAGAGTGATTTCTTCCTTTCCAATAGGATCTCACATTGATGACTTACTATACCTTTCTACAGTATTGCATTCAATGACCTCACTTGTGTCATATCTTATTGACTACATCTGAACTGTGGGCCAACTCACGCTGGACAGCATAAGTGGAATTCCATGGCTCAACCAGACATGGAATCAGCAGAAGTTCTGGGAACACCACATCCCATGAGCTGTGTGTATGCATCTTAATCACAATTTCAATATGATTGTTTAAGAAGGATACAAATTTAAAATGGCATTAACAATTACCTCAGTATAAAGTACTGCATCTTCAGAGATGTTATCGTAGTCTTGGACACAGCTTTTTGCAGCATTTTGAGCAAATTTCATAAATTCTGCAACTTCATTGTTTACTGCTTCTTTCATTTGCTGGGGAGGGGAAAAAATAATTCTCATTTTTAAGTCACAGTGGAAACCTGTAGGCTAGGTATGTAAACAGCAAATTTCCAGAGAGGTAGCACAGGCAATGGGTATAAGGAAGGGCACAGATTCCATTTCATGATCAATCTGGCAAGTCTCTGCATGCCTTCAGTTTCACAAGTTAAAAAACACGTTTGCAAGATTAGGCCCATTTCCTTTAAAAACAAAGGAAAACAGAGCAAGCTTTTTTTGACCATGCATTGGTGGTTAAAAGAAGTAAAAGAGGGGAGGAGGGGAGGGGGGGTTAAAAGATACTATTGGAGCAAGTTTACAGTGACAAAGTGAGGTTATCTGAGCTCTGACTTAATAAGCAATTACAGTGTAAATAGCAACAATGCAGTAAGTACTGATTTGGCCAGAGAAGACTTTCCCACTGATACAGCACTAAGCAAAGGAATTGGTATTTACAAGGAAGCACAGGATACCAAATGCAATGGCTCTAAAACGTTTACTGATTAATTACCACATGCACTTCAGCTAAAATTATACAACCAACCAACATGAAACATTTTAGCTCCTGCTAAAAAGAAAAAAAGACAATAGTTTTCAATTTAAAAAAAAAAAAAACCTTCCCTTTATTTAAAAATGTTACCCCAAATACTTTTAATATGGTATTATGAGTGGCAATGAAGGTTTAAAGGGAGTTATAACAAATTCAATTTTAAAATGTTTCTGCTACATTGTAAGACTCTCCTCTGTGACATTCATGTGTGTATGAATCTACACATACAGCTTACCAAATACATGAGTAATTCTCTTTGATTTGCTGCATTGAGTGGAAAATGGTTGTTTTTTTTTGAGAACTTTGTCATCAGATATAAGTATGTTTTCTGCTCCTTCTCAGTCAAACAAGAAGTAAATGGATAGGGGAGTCTAGGCTCTGGAAAAGGATGATCATCAGTTGTGGATTTAGCATCCACCTCCAGTGGATCTGCAGCCTGTGTGTTACAAGTCTGTTTGTTTTCTGAAGAGTTTGCCGATGCCTCCACATTTTTCTTTGCCACTCTGAAAGAAAAACAGTAAGTGAAACAACTTAGGCTTTTCACCTGAAGAGTAATATTTTTCAGAACCAATAAAGACAGTCATGCAAGATTAAATTTCAAATTCAGCAAAATGCATCAAGTGATACTGTACTATTCCAATTCCTAGCCTAAATCCTAAGAATTTTCTTATTCTGAAACTTCACCTGGGCCATCAGACTAACCCTTAGTACCAACAGCAGGTTTGCCATTGATTTCAAGACCCAAAAAAAGGGTTTTTATCTTCTTTTTAAAAGGTGTATATATTCATTTGTATAATTAATATTGAGATTAAAAGCTATTTATGAAACTCTGATTCTTCGCTCTGGAAACACATCAATGATAGCCTCAACATCTCCTCATTAGCTGATGTGTGGTATTCAGAAAATTTGCACTCAAGAGAGGCCTAACTTATGAGTTGAAGTTATGTCTGTAAAGGGGAAAGACTACCTAGAAAAAGCTTTTCTTTCCCTGTGAAAAAAAAAAAATAAATAAAACCTACTTAACTGTCACAATAGGAATTCCAGATCTCCTTAAAGATTTTTGCTAAAAATAGAGTACACAAACTTCATTTTTCAGTTCTGAACAGTGCTAAAATTATTTGCCAAAAATGGCACCGGGCTAAGGTAAAGAGCATTAGCATCCCTCACAACAACAAAGTAACAGCGTTATAAATCTGTTTTTTAAAACAACTCCAGTATGTGAAGACCAGCTTAGCCCTGCTTCGTTTAAAATAAGTGGTTTTTAGAAAGAAAATATTTAAGGTTAACAAAATGAATGTTAACTGCTGATCTTGGAAAAAGCATATTTTTAAGATACGGTTCCAGAAGGAGAAAACATCTCAGGCGTTATTCAAACCCAACAGTATCACGTCCACAGTTCTTAATAATACTTCACAGCTGTCTCTCTGAATATGAGAATGTGTCCATCCTTGTGGCACAAACTGGCAAATTTAATTAAGCTGCAGCAGCAACAAGATGCTGACTCAGATATGCCAATGTAAGAACGTCAAGAAATTCTAGCAGCTTAAATTGGCTATATTCAGCACTGAATGAAATGGCAGCACATCAAGATCATTTCAGTATGCAGTGCTGTCACAATCTTCATCAGGGTGCAAACCAAAATAATCTGACAGAGCTTTTCTGTCCATATTTACAGCATTATACTTTATTTAAGCTGACGGCTTAAATTTTTCCCTTTCATTTTATCAGCAACCTGTCTCCACAGCTTCTATGGTGAGAGAACATACGCTTTTGTAAATATTTATCAGAAACCCCAATATACAATTTGACATGCTTCCTCCAGCTTTTACTTTCATATTTACCCCAACAGGTTACATTTCTCTTCTTCTTGATCTTGATAATGGCCACTCAACCCAGTTCCACTGATGTCCAAATTCTTGGGGTTGCAACCTCTTTCTGAGTATAAACCCTCTTCTACCATACACAACTGAACATAACCACACTCCTAAGTACAGACATGTATTCTCCAAACTCCTTCCCCACCCGTTTTTTTTAACCTCATCGAATGGAAGAATCCTACAGCAGTAACAAATAATACCCTGTGAGGATTGTGCTCATCTCAGTCACCACACGGAGAGTTATTCCAACATAAATAAACCAGGCAAAATACTTAAATCCCTTTCTCTAGCTAAAGATGTAGGACATGGCGAGAAATCTATTCCCCTACGAAGCACGTTTTCAGTATCAGTTAATGAAAACACAGCAATTCCCTTTGGAACAAATTACTTCTCCACGTGCTAAATTCCTCACTTAGAGCACAACAGCTACTGGAGTTTCCATCCCCATTTTCCATAATGTGAATATTCATCCATCAAGAGAAGCTTTCAGTTCTACCTCCCTAACAGCTGGAGTTGTTTGTTCTTCAAACAAACAAGGCAATAGCCTAAATACAATATTCCAGCTTTTGAAATCCAGCAGCACATAGTACTATCTATGCCAAAATTATTTGTGTCCTCAGCATTTCACTTCCCATCCTTCAGCTAACAGCCTATATAGTTTCCTGATTACCCAAGGAATTAGTTGAACCTCCACTGCAGCTAACTTGCTGTTCTTCTGTATAAACAGTGCTAGCTACTTCCAAAAGACACAAGTAAAAAGGATTTCACTGCATAGAAACATCAGCCTTCTAGAAAGTGAGAAGACAAGAGACTGACAGCAGTTGTTAAAAAGAATTAGGTCTGGTTCATGGGTTACAGACTCTTTATCACGATTGAGTGCTTCAGCCCTCTTTGGTATGCAAAAGCAAGCCAAAATAAAACACACCAAAAAAAACACTACCAAACCAACCCCACACATGAATTCAACACCAAAATGAAACAACCCTCCCAAAAATATAAGCCCCATTCTCCAAGACAGTAAGGACCAGCCAGAGGTCCCAACCTAAACTCTCCTCCCTTGTGTGGGCTCACACCAGGAAAGCAGAGCCCAGCTGCTGCCCCACATAGCCATTAACAAATCACTCCATAGCCAGGATGCTCGCAAAACACTATGACCACATATAAATTCAAAAGAGTAACTATGAAGACCAAAGAATGTACAAAAAAAAAATATATATATACCTGTTTGATAAATTCCATAGTTCAGACAGACTTGGAGCCAACGAGTATTTTTCATAAATTTCATGCGAGAAAAATACTTCACTGCCGTTTTTTGGTGGAATATCCCTGATAATAAAGAACAAAATAAGCACACTGCAACATACAACAAACTGAAGGCCAAATCTGACCCCGAGGAACAACGAACAGCATTAATTATTAAAAATTCGCAACTACCTATACAGTGTTTCACCCTTCCCTTCTCAGAGGCTATGTATGCAGTGACAAATTCCCTTGTGGTTTTTAGTAGTTATGTAAACACCTTCTTCATGGTCCAAACAGAACAATTTAATTAATTCTGTGTATAAGTTCTAGATGCGGCTACAGGGACACTGATGTAGTTCTATGCTTTCAGACGTTCATCAGTCAAACTCCACCAGAGTAAACTTGCTAGAATTTGGAGAAAAAGCACAGCCATCCTGTTTGTGCTTCCTCACAAACGGGAGATCGTCTGTCAGCCAGCCCGTGCCACCTGAAGGCTGCTTTGGGATGAAGCCCTTCCCGTGCAGTGTACACAACACGCATCTTCCCGAACTGCCTCGAAAAGCAAGAGGAAAGATTTAATTCTGCCTCCTTCACTCATTAAAAAAGCTGACTCCAAACAACGCCAGTACCCTGCAGCGTTTTCCTGCGCAACCCCAGCCCCAGCCCGTCCTCCCCACAGGCCCAGCGGTACAAAATGGCGCCGCCCAGTCCCCGGCCGGGGCGGGAACTCAGACCCCACCCCGCCCCGCCCCGCCCGGGCGCATGCGCGTCCCCGCCGCGGTGCCAGCGTGAGCGCGGAGCGCGCCTCCCGCTCGCCGCCGCCCCTGAGGCGCGCTCCCGCCGGGCGGGGGGCAGCGGGGAGCGCCCCGCACCCACCATTGCGGCCGCTGCTCCGCCGCCGCCATCTTGGTGCCCCTCAGGGTGACGGCTCCGCCGCCCGCTCGTCGGCCGAGCCCGCCCTCACGGCGCTGGCCAATCAGCGCAGCGCGCGCGGGGATCGGCTGCGCCGAGCCAGCCAATGGCGGCGTAGGCGCGGGCGGGCGGTGGGCTGCCGGCGGCCATCTTGTGGCAGGCGCCGCCGCGGCGAGGGCGCGGGGTCGGGCCGGAGGTGCGGCTGAGGGGCTGCTCCGGGGCTCGCACCCGCCTCCACGGCCTTCGCTACGGTGTGGCCCTGACCGGGAACCGGGCGCCTCGAGGCGCCTGTGCCCGCCTCAGGTGCGATGAGGCGGCCGGGCCGGGCTCTGCCGGGCGGTTGGGCCCTCAGGGGGTTTGGCCGCGTGTGAGGGCCGAGGCGCCTCACGGTGGTGGCTGCGCCACCATTGAAAACCCTGGGTTTTCAATCTCGCAGGGTTATTCCCTGGGTTACTTGGTAGCAGCAGGGCAGAGCCACAAAATCTGCTCCCCCTCCACCCTTTTTTAAATTTTCTGATGATGAGGCTTCCCAGTGTGGTAAAATAGTGAGTTCAAATGTTTTTAGTAGCTGTAGATTTACATCACAGAAAGTCATTCACTTGTGGTTTTATAAGAAAAAGTGATCCTCTTCACAGCTCTACCGATGCAGAAATGAAGAGGAAACTGCATATTGTAGCGGTCAAAGTATTCAGAGCACCTAGTCCTGTAACTAAAACTCTGGCGATTATATACAAATGCCTATCTATATTGTGAGGATTCAGAATTTTCGAGAGTACTGCATCCGGGTCCAGGGGTCCAGTAGCAGAGAGGAGGGCCACGAAGATGATCAAAGGGCTATGAAGACAGGCTGAGAGAGCTGGGGCTGGTCAGTCTGCAACAGAGAAGGCTCTGGGCAGACCGCAGTGCGTCCTTGCCATGGTTGAAGGGGGCCTACAAGAAAGATGGGGAAATTGTCTTTGGTAGGATGTGTGCTGATAGGACGAGGGTTAATGGTTTTAAAAGAGGGTAGAAGTAGATCAGATATTTGGAAGAAATTCCTTATTCTGGGTATGGTGAGGAACAGGTTGCCCAGGGAAGCTATGGATACCCCTTCCCTGGAACTGCTTAAGGCCAGGTTGGATGGGGCTTTGGGTAAACTGGTCAGGTGGGAGGTGACCCTGCCCATGGCAGGGGTTGGAACTAGGTAGTCTTTAAGGCCCCTTCCAATCCAAACCATTCTGTGAGTCTTTGTCCAAACCCACCAACCAAGGAGTCTCTAGTTTGCAGTTCAGCATTAAGAAAATGGTCTGATTTTAATTTTGCGCTTTTTTTTTTTTTTTGTCTCAGAGGCAGAAAGGTTTTATTTCTCACTGGAGTCTCCCAGAGTCCATTCTTGGAGGTAGCCTTATGAGGAGTAATCTTACTTCAAAGCTCAGGTATGGTGGCAGTTACTTAGCACAATGATTAGAAGACTTGCCCAGGTTGTGAATGTGTCAAGTTAAGTCAAACTTCAGTCTGGCATCTCCCTAAAGCCTGCACTTTCCTTTTTTTTTTTTTTTCTTCCTTGAAGTGATATACTTTATAAACATGGTTTTTCTATTTCTGTGACATAAATGTGAGCACCAGGACACATTCAAAGCCACCAGATCCTAGCCTACAGTTCAGCTTTTGTTACTGGCAGACATGGGAGTCCATAGATTGTCTCTCATTTCACAGTAATTTCTTTTGTTTTACTTTGAATGGATGTTGCCTAACATATCAGTGGCTAGTTCGTCCAGTGGCTAGTGTCATCTCCTGCAAATGAAGAGATTGGGCAGAAATCACATCCTGAGGATGAGAAAATTAAACTTGGAATTCCAGTGTCTCAGAGAGTGCTTAAGCCATTGAGTTTGCCCAAGAACAAATGGCACTACTTAGCACTTGCTCTAGGAGAGCAATGGCTTCCATCATTTTTTTCTTGGAGATTCAATATGTAGGTGAAGGCTTCCAGATGCAGTGCTTCAAAGAAGAATGCTAATAACTAATTCTGGATTATTGTCAGGCAAATTAATACTGATCTGTTAAAGTTCTGCCAAGACTGAGGCATTGCTGGCTAGAGGTACAAAGAGAATTTTACATGCCTGAAGTCTTAAGATAGAAATCAAAGGTGCCCCCAAGTTAGCACAACAGAGGGGAGCTGCAACTTTGAATTTTCATGACTAAATAATACTAAAACTTCAGTTTTGATCCATGAATCCTCTTTCAGAACTAGCCCAAAGTGTAATCTCCAAATTCACTGGTTAGTTTTTAAGCCAGATTTCTTGTATGGTGCACTTGACGCAGCGAACTGTGATGTTAAAGAAGACACTTTCAAGGATAGGGAAGCTAGACTGATCCAAAATAAATCTGAGGATGTTCATGCTCTTCTTAGCCGAAAGGGGAGCTTAAAAGGTGTTGGGGAGTCTTCTAATTTCCCTGCCATCAAGTGTTTTTGATTTACATTACAAAAACCTCTTGATATATGTGCCTGAAAGCACAGCCTAATTTTGTAATTGTTGATCTCTTGAGATTAACCTAATACATATCAAAATACAGAAAAACACAAGATTTTACTAACAAAAAGAGTCAAGACAGATTTTTCCATTAGAAGCTGAAGTTTTATTACAGGATAACAGTACATAAAGCACATCTAAAATCGATGTGTTCAATGCACTTAATAAAGGTAATGTAATATTAAAGGTACAGTTTCTAAGTACAATATAACAACATTCATATTAGAATGAAAATTGGAGTATTTAAAAGACAACATTAAATCTCTTATTTTTACAGTCATATTTACAAAATGAATCAAAATACTTTTTTTCGGGACTGAGTAAAATAACAAACTTGAATATAAGCAGGCTATCGTAAGAGTGAATTGGAAAGGTCCATGAAAGTGAAAAGTTAAGTGATTGGGTAAAGATCATTAGCAAAGGTTTAGTACAATACCACTTTAGTATTCCTCTTGATGGCTTACGTTTAATGGTGGCTAGAAAAGGAATTTATACATACTGTACACATAACAGACGGCATACATTTACATGTACAGTATAGTTTCATTTGAAGTTGTGTGTATTTACAGAAATTTGAGCATATCACTCAACGAGGTTTTTGAAGTTCATGTGCTTAATCCTCAAACTGACGTATATTTGAAATCATCATTTATTCTCATTTTGTTACGTTGAACATTTAGTCAACAGGGAAAATATATTAACCAAATGGTTTTGCATAAATATATCAAACTATTAAAATTAAAACAATAGGGAGAACGTGTTCCTAGCATTACGTATAAGTTAGTACATACAAATTTAAGAGCGACTCCTTTTCTTTTTGAAAATATCAAAAGGTGACTTAAATCAACAAGGGAAAATAAAATTGTCATGGCTTGTATTTAAATAAGATTGTAGCTTCAAGAGGTTTTTATAATTATCCTGATAGTGTTTGCAATTAAACATTCCACTTATGAAAATATATGCACGGTGCAGTAAAGTTTGTATTTATTTTTAGGACAACAGTATGTTTGCTGTTTAAAAAAAATTATTTATATATATATATTCCTTGAATTGAGGGTATAAAAGCAGTGCATGGAAGCCAAGAATCATGGCTTTAAAATTCACTACCTTCTATTATCAAAAAGTGCAGTAAACAGAAACAATTGTATTTAATAAATTGCTCAAAAATCTTTGCTAAAGATCTTATAAATTCAGTAATATTACAGAAAAATTCTAATAAATATTTAAAAGGTTAATTACCTCCTTAGTTAGATATTTGATATCCATTGGTTTTTAAGAATTAACACGAAAACAGTATCTAGAATGAAAGGAACAGGGGATAAGAATACTTTTAAGGGTACATGACTATGTAAATTAAGGTATATATGAAAAATAAAAACAAAACCCCCAGACCTGACAAATGTTGCGAATTCCACTCCTTAATTAACTTTAGTTGCTAGTGGCTGTCCTCAGATATGTATGCGTGATTTATAAAGCATACCCAAGGACTGAATTTAGCCATCGATCTATCATCGAAGATTTACAGAAAATTCCTATTTACAGTAACTGGAGTTAATTGTGTAGGCATAGCCTAGTAACATCTGCGGTTTGAGTGTGTACAGATCCTATTTAATGTGAAGAGGGAGGAAGGCACCCATCAGAATAACATCTATAAATATCAGATGCCACAAGAAGATAGATATCTACAAACAAGCCAAATAACTACCTCCCTTTCAGACAGACAGCATATTGTAAATAGTTTATACTGCTAGATTTGATTCTTTTCTTGTTTCTGATACAATACAGGCAGACTGATTTATTAACCAAAAGGGTAACAAGCTGGACAGAACGTTTTTAGTAATGTTAATAATGTAGAAGAAAATTCTACATTTGATATCAAGTATCTGTACCGGTGAAGTAATTTTCTCCTTATTAAATATACTATAGAATAATTTATATAATGACACTATGCATTTAAAGAGAAAACCATGTCCCAAATCTTGTACTCTGATACAGGTACTTGTTGGGCATATGTAGGTGTATATATATATATATACACAAATATATATATATTTATATATAGTTATACTCAGTGAAATTAACAAGACCCAAAGGTGGTATTGTCTAGGAATAAAAGGGGTTTGTTTGCTTTTGTTCACAAAAGTAACTTATCTAGCACCACACATCAGAAAAACACAAAAATAGCACACTCTAGTTCTAAACAGCTATGTCTAAAATAGATTATATAGTAAAACAGATATTATACAGCATAATGTGGTATTTGATAAACAGATAAATATTTGCACTGTGTAGGCTGTTTATAGTATAACTTTATCTATACAGAATGAAAGCAAAAAGTTAACTGTATAGAGGTGAGCAGAACAACATTAAATATTATGACTCCAAAGCAGAGACGAAGTTAGAGTTGAAAGAATAGAGCAAGATAAAATGTTTACAGGCCATTACAAGTCCTTAAATTAGTAGTAAAATAAGGAATCAGTTGCTCAAGTTTAAGAAAGCAGTAAACAAGAGATTGCATTTACATGCAGATGTCTAAAACTTGTATTTCTTTTAAATCTATGCACAAAAAGTCATTTGTTTTTATTGCTTGACATTCAGTTATGGCTAGAGTATTTTTTAACCTTTTTTGTACTTTGGAAACAAGAATATTGTTAAAGGTGCCATAAAAATGGACAACATTGAAAACAGTTTGCAAATAAACCACCTAACACTGCAGTTCTTTATACATTTTAAAAAGCCTTGTCTGGGGTTTGTCATATGTTAAATATATTTAAACTGGGAAAATACATTGTAGCTTGAAGCCTCCCATTGGCCCAAACATCCAATACAAAAACACATCTCCAGAAAAGGAGCAGGCAGACAGTACAGTTACATATAAAGAAGCAGCCAGTTAATGTCCTAATATTTCAAATATTCACCACTGTTTTGTAACTTGTTTCTAAATCAATGTAGAAATGAGGAACATTTTGGATTTAGAAAGGTGTACAGTACGTATGCCTTTTTGTGAAATAAAATTCACTGTATTGCTTATGAATTCTCTGCATTAGAAATGACAGCATTACAGATTGCAAATTCCTGTAAAGTTTATGCATCTACATTAAGACTCTGTGGGGTAATTTAGGTTAGTGTTTCTCAAACTGAAAGTCACAACCATTAAAAGTTGCCCAAGTGTTTAGATTATTATCAAAACACTCTGTCAGGCTCACACAGCTCGGTTCTATGTGAATCGTAGCAGCTCTGTTCACCAGCACAAACAGACGCACTGTGCTGGCCGGGGAACTCATCCTACTTAGTGGATGCAGCTCAGCTCCCCGGGCATGAAGGGGCTGCAAGAACTGGCTGTTGGCTGCCTGTGCTTGTGGTAGCCATGGAGTTACTGCTGAACACCCAGCAGCAGCTCAGTTGCTTTAGTTGGGCAAGGCGGCCAGTAATTACACCTGGTTCTCACTCCCTACCTCAGGAAAACTAAGTTAATTCCAACACATAGAGCTCTATGAAGAAATATAGCCCAGAGCGACTGTGCTTTCAGAAAGCTTGAGAAACACTGACTTGCAGGAAAACAAGTACACAAAGGACATAGGAACACTGAAAACATGCAGGTGTTAACAAAAAGGTGTGGTGTCACATATCAAGTTGAACAACTTGATTGTGAAGGTCAGCTTGAAGAAGTAATGAAATTCTGAGGGAAGACAAAGAAATGAATATTGTGGCAGAAGGATTGAACCCATGAGTATTGATCTGAAGCCTTTATCATGTTTTTTCTTATTTGGATAGCCTACTTATTGCTATAAAGTTATTGCTATATTCTACCGATGATAAAGGCAAACAAACAAAAGACAAGATAAAGAGCAATGTTACGTGTGAAATAGGTAGAATACAGCTTTTACTTTGATGTTAAAATTCTA